ATGCAGGGTCCCTTCGGCTTGGACAACTGAGGCGGTCCTATGGGCCGAGAATCCGCACATGCAAGATGACCTACGGGCAGCGCAGTTCAAAGTTTCCACATGTGATGCAGAATGCATTACGTCGGTTTGCGCGATTGGGTTCGCGACGATGCCAGTAAGCCCTCAGCCGGGAGCTTGACATTTGAGAAGATGGTATTGTACCGCGCCGGGCGCGGGGTAAAGATCCGCAGAGACCACAAAGATGCTACGTGTGACTATCAACTTCCCCCCTGGGAGTATGGTGTCACCTTCAAGTATACACGCGGCGCTTACAAAATTACTGATCGGAGCAACTTTCACCGGACAAAGGCTCGCCTAGACCTTGATGTCGCGGGGGAGATGTCCAAGGTGACCCGGGCAGGTCTCCACGACGCGGGGCAGAGGTGCGGCGGTGCGGCCCAGGGGGGTGACTCGGCCCGCAGGAAAGTAAGAGGATTGGATAGCGAAGCTTCGGTTGGCCGCGGAGTTTCCGCTGGAACATGGATTCCTTGAATCGAAGCTGCTTTGGCTGGCGCTGAGTGCTCCCCAATGCGGCAGTAGTCCCAGCAGCATGGCGGGGAGTTCTCCCAATACCGACTGCTTGTCAGGTTTCCCATGACAAAAGCCGCTCGTAAAGAAGAAAAAAAAAATGACTAGAAGCTAGTCGGGAAGAAGAAGAAGCTTGAAACAAAAGGCACCGCAAGTGTTCTAGACAGCTCTAATGAAGACGTGTACAGCTGCACGATCCAGGACCAAGTGAGATTCGAACCGGCAGCCCCAAGAAGAATGAGAAAAAGTGGAGATTACCTCTTTCGGAGGACAGAGGCCATTGGAGATTTGACCCGGCAGATTTTGGCCTCCATGGTCCCCCCTGATCCCCTACCCAGGTCCGAACTCTGGCTTTTTGTCTGCGCGCGGCTGATTCACTTCACTCTCGCCCCGGAAGCAAACGCGCACCTTCCCCCGCTCGACCATCTCGTCGCCAACCCCACTAGTTTTTCCATTCCTCGCTTCATTCCGCCCACCACCAGTATCCCTCTGCAGACACCACCAACAGCGCGCCCAGGGTCGTCTTCAAATCACTTACACTCCATTCGTCGGCATCCTCACTGTTCCTCGCGTCGCCGAACGCGCAAAATTCCACGCAACAAGCTGCGTTTTCGATACCCTTCGCCTCCGTCGTCCGAGGTGCAAGCAGACGGGCTGTGCCTCCTGCTTGGTACCGGACAAAGGGGGTCTCGAGACCATCAACGACTTCGCATTTTCCATCAGTCACCCCCCTTCGCCTATTCCCTCCCCCCCGCAGACCCTTTCCTCCCCTCGGCGAGCTCCATAAAAAAACATTGACACCCGATTGCCCTGCCTCCGAGGGACTACAACACCAGCACGATGTCGTCCTTCCTCACACCCACAAAGAAGTCCCAGAAGCCGACGGCGGCAAAGTCGAAGCCATTCCAACCCCCGAACCGCATTCGAGCCATTCGTGAACAAGCTGAACGCCAGCAGGCAAACGCCGCTGCCGCCGCCGCCAACGCCGCCGCTCAAGCACAACTGAACCGCTCCCGAGCCCCGACGGTCGCCGTCTCGAACCGCCCACAATGCCCGAACAAAACCTGTGTCAAGCCCAACGTCGTCGACGGCGTGTGCCAGACCTGTGGTCGAGTCGCCGACGACAGCAACATTGTTGCCGAAGTACAATTTGGTGAAACGTCTTCGGGTGCCGCCATGGTTCAGGGAAGCTACATCGCCGCCGACCAGGCTGGAGTGCGGACAATGGGTCCTGCGTTCCGCCGCGTTGGTGGCTCCGACGATCGAGAGAAGTCCATACGCGAGGCTCGCTCCCTGATGCAGGGCTACGCCCAGCGGCTGAACCTCAGCGACAACACTGTCAACACCGCCGTTCAGGTTTTCAAACTTGCCTCCCAGGCCAACTTTGTCCAGGGTCGTACACTCGTCATGGTCGCCGCCGTTTGTCTCTACACGGCTTGCCGCACTGAGCGCCCGTGCAAGATTATGCTTATCGATCTTGCCGATCTCACGCAGATCAATGTCTTCAAGCTTGGCCGGGCCTTCAAGGCTCTGAACCGAGTAGTGTACATTTTTGGCAACGGAGAGGCACCGGTGTTCCCTGAGGACATCCTTTTTAGGCTCGCCTCCAAACTCGAGTTTAAGCACATGACCAACCGGGTCGCCGAAGATGCCGTCCGTCTCGTCCACCGCATGAAGCAAGACTGGATCGTCATGGGCCGTCGCCCATCGGGTATCTGCGGTGCTTGTTTACTCATAGCCGCCAGAATGCATAATTTTCGGCGTACAACCAGGGAAGTCGTGTATGTCGTCAAAGTCACGACTCACACTATACAAGAGCGTCTTCAGGAGTTCAATGTTACCGAGGCCAGTAAAATGACGGTGGAGGACTTTCTGTCACAGGACTTTAGCTCCAGTTCGCACGACCCCCCGTCGTTTTACAAAGGCACAGAGGCTTGGCAAAAGCAGCAAGAGGAGTTGGGCAAGAAGCGGAAGCGCAAGATGACAGATGACGGCGACAACACAAGAACCACACCGGCACCTTCACTTTCCCCTCCCGACTTATCTGCGGCCCCCGCCGTCGAGTATCGCCGAGACAAGGACGGCTTTATCATCCCTCCGCTTCCCTCTCAGATCGCTCAGGACGAGCCGGCTCTCCGAGACACAAACAGCACCCAGCATCTCGAGGGTTTGGCGGAAGAATTTGGCGATGCGGAAAAGCAGAGCGAAGAATCGTCGCAACAGGATGCCAGCAGCAAGAACGGACGACAGTCCAAGCCTTCTCTGCCCATTGATAACGAGTGGGAGGAGGATGAGGCCCAGATGGAGGAGCAGATCTCGGAGATCATGAACGACCCCGAAACGTACGAGCATGCCAAGGCTTTCAGTAACGCTGAACAGCGCGCCCGCATCCACTCTATCTGGGCACTTCAGCAGCAGCCAAACAAGGCCGTATCGATGGCACCGGAGGTTGGCGAAGACGAGTTTGCCGATGATCCCGAGGTGCTGAACTGCATGCTGACACCTGAGGAGATCAAGATCAAGGAACTGCTGTGGGTTAACGAGAATAAGGACTGGCTGCGCCAATCACAGGAGCGCCTGTTCAGAAAGAAACTTGAAGAGAAGAAACCCAAAAAGGACCGCAAGCGGAAGAAGCGCCCACGCATTGGCGAGGGCCAGACGACTCCTGCCAGCACGCCCGGCGAGGCGGCAGTCAATGTCATGAAGGAGCGAGGCTTCTCAAAGCGCATCAACTATGATGCCATCCGGCAGATGTTCGATGTGCAAGACAAGGGTGACCCGGGATCCCGGCCGGAGAGTGAAGCCGCCAGCCGCCCGACCAGCAAGGCGCCCAGCGTGATTGATGAGACCATCCATGAGGAGGAAGAGATTGAGCCTCTTGAGGGCGAAGACTACGAGCATCAGGATGACGAGTTTGGCGGCGGAGACGACTACGACGACATGGGCGACGAGTCCCACATGTACGATGAGGACGATCAGGGGATGGGGGAGGAGGATGACGACGACGACGACTTTGGACTGAACGACGACGACGAGTGAGCGCAGTCCGTCGTTAGATGTCTTGTCTTCTGCTGGCTCGGCGAGCATCGAGGAGGGCGGCGTAATTGTATTTAGATACCCAAGGGCCCCTGGTGTATTGGGGCTTTCGGTTGGCCGCAGGCCAGCATGATTGCGTACGTTATACGGATAGAACATCTTTAGACCAGCGGAGCAATTTGCAGACCATTTCTCGAGTGTTTGGTTCTGTTGCTGCTTTGATTGAACGTGCTGATGACTGGCACGCTTTTGTTGCATTGTGTAAATTGCGATGTGCCAGCCTGCTTTGCCCTCAGGCCCCGGTCATTCAGACATGTCTTGGCTTCTAGCCTGACTGAAGCCACCAGTCATTGTTTGCGCCCATGATCCTCTAAGAAGCATGCACCAGGTACGCGCCAAACCAAACATTCTCGTGAACACAAAAACGCTGCTGGGATGACTGGTCATTTAATGGCCCTAGAGGAGCTGTGAGTTGGTGATTGGGATTTGGGTTGCCGGAACCATGGAGATGGTGATGCCTGGTGACGCAGCATTTTGTTAGTGTTGAGCGTGCTACTACGTGTTGCTGCCTGATGTGCAGTACAACACAAATAGTGACCGTCCGAATAGCTGTGCTTGTAGTTGCTACAGACTTATAAAGCAAGACCCAAGGTCACCTCGCTGCCTTGACTCAGCTCATTTATTGCAAGGTTGGCTGGTTGGGACTGAGTTTTGGTTCGGGAGGTAGGCGAGCCAACGCGAACACGGACCGTATATCCTCCTAAACTATCTACTTATGAAGGGGGGAGTAAAGAAAAAACTTACCAGCCAACCATCCCGACTCTTTACCTGCCATATTGCGCCAGATCTTTCCCGTTCATTTGCAGTGGATTGTGCCAGCTTTGTTGTCCTTATTCTTGAGCATTTGCTTCACCTGCCGCAGTGACTGTTCATGTCTCCGTTCTGGCTTTTGTTGGCTGCCGGTCAGTATCAGTTGGCCCTGGCCAAGCAGGTGAGCAGCTGTGGACTCAGTGCACACATGTATGGTCTCCCAGCTGTGCTTGCCCACACTCTCCATACAATACGCTGAGGCTGATAGCCTTTTAACACCGGATGTTTCCTGTGAGGTGCTCGTCTCATGTATTTGGTTTGCGTTTCGTTCCACTTGCAGCAGCTTAGTTAATCTCGTTTAGTAAGATACCGTTGACCATGCTATCATTTGGGTTCTGTAAGCAAACGCAACGCAACGCAGCCCTGTCGCCAGATGACCCGTACGGAATTTCTTGGGAGTCCGTGTCACCCGTGATCCGGCGGTAATTACAAACAGGCTTCGTCACCCCAGTCTAAGCAATCTCCAGTCTCTCCACTGTCCGAAATGAAACTTAGTCAGTATTTCCATTTGAAAAATCAACAAATATGGCCGGGTGGCGCAATGGTAGCGCGTCACTTTCCGGTGGTGAAGGTTCTGGGTTCGAGTCCCAGCTCGGTCGCATTATTTTTTTGAACCATTGTTAACATCTCATAATGATCTCGTACTGTTTTTGTGTTTGTGGGTCTGTATATGTTAGTTAGTATTTTGCCAGTAGGATTTATAGATTTACTTTGAATAAACCCTAAATGACCCCAGCGAGCTTTTTCTTAGGAATATCCTGCTATTTATGATACTCATAGCGTCCACGGCGTTAGTATAACTTTTGCGTTATATCGTCATAGCAATTCTTGCGTTTATGGCTTGCACTACCATTGGCGAGAAGAAACCAAGGCGAACTAGCCCACCAGCAAGGACAAATGAGAGACCAGCCTAATCATTAGAATCATGCTGAGGAAGGGGCGGCTACTAAACAGACTAATTACACGTCCATCTCAAAGTCAGGATGTCAAGTGGCGCTTCCCTCTGGCTTGCCAACCAGATGGTGGGGAGCATACCGGCTATTCATCATTTCCTAGATCATTAGGCCTATAGTTTGACGTTCGTCACAAAGCCACAAGGTGATGCGGCTGCCATCGCAACCTCCCGAGCTCAAGCTCATCTGACAAGGTGAAGGCTCGGAGGAACCATTGGCCCATGTCCAAAAAGGTTAAAAGACCGCTGGCGCGCACCAACCATGACGCCCGGCACACCTCTCAGCGCGCCTCGCCAGTTGCAGTCCGAACGAAATGGAGGCCCTATGCTGGCGCCGGCCTATTATGTGCGGCCCAATGGTAGCCGTTCGCGCACCTCACTTTGACATTGGTTGTCACATCGGCAGGCACCTTGCATGAGGGGTTGAGGGCTGATCAGCGGGGTGTTCAGGGGGAGTCTGGGGACGACAGCAGGAATCTGGGGCAAGATCCCTGCGCTCCTCGGCTTGGAGAGGTCGGGGAACCCCTGGAGAGCATGTGTTCGCGATGCTTTGTCTTTTGTCACTATGGGAACTGGGAAGGAGTTTCGACCGAGGGCATGTGAAGCTTTGAGGTTTCCGGGATTGTGACGGCGCGATCACACATCGGCTCGGCCTGGATGTGGTGATTGACTGTCTTCTGAGCGATGTGTTCGCGGGGAAATATGACATTGATGGAAGGCGGCCAGGCGTTGTGATGCCATGATAGGCGGAGGATTGGTAGTAGCGAGCATGCTAGTATGGCGATGGATGTGACGATTGCAGGCGTGATGTTCTTGGAACGTAAAATCTGGACTATAAAAGGCTATTGAAATCTCTGATTGTGACAAGAAGATATGTACTTCTCAGCAGCTTGAGATTCAGGTTCTACAGTAACAGCTCATAAAACCAGCCGGCATCAAGATCAGTCCACAAAGACACCCGCCGCCATGCTTCCCAAGTTCTCTCTTCTCTGCCTCTTCGCCACCTCTGTACTCGCCGACGGTGCCGCCATCGTGGCCGCCATGGACAAGGTCGCGGTACAGAACACAAAGTTGGGCGACACTGTCGCCTCCTGGGATGGCGGACTCTTTGGCACATTGCCCATCATCGTCGACTCAACCAAGCTGCTTGTGAAGATTAAAGAGGCCACTGGCGTCGCCGAGGATTCGGCGCCGCTCAATGCCATCGAGGCAATCACTGTTGCACAGTCGACGCAGAAGCTTGCCGGCGGCGTTGAGACCACGCTCAGCAGTGTCGTCGACGCTAAGTCAAAGTTTGACAGGCTCTTGTTAAGCCCCATTATTTTGTTGAACCTCAAGCAGGAGAAGAGCGCGACGGACAAGTTCAGTGCGGCTGTTGTTGAGAAGGTCCCTGAGGCATTGAAAAGTGCAGCCGAGACTTTGATTGGGAGGATTGAGGCGGCATTCAATGATGCTATAGCTACTTACAGCTGAGTAGTGTTTCATGGGGCTTTAATTGGACGAGTGGTGGGTAGTCAAATGGCTACTGTGAGGGGACAGTGTCGTGGAAATGACGAGATGGTAATGCATAAGGCTTGATTGTGTATGACGAGTACTCTTTTTGTACACGAGCTTCTTGAATGTAACAGCAGAACATAGCTTTCTCGATCAACATCCGTCAACATTGAAATGTCAGCCCAGTTCAACGGCCAGTCGGCAGCAGTAACGCAAGCAGCACGAGTAACACAGCAACAGGTATACATTATTGGATATCGTGATTTTCATTGATACGAAGCTAGGAAACAAGATCGTCAAACACCTCAAGCCTTCTTGAAACCAGGCGGAATTTCTTCCACAGCTTCAAGATCCATTTGGCCACATGGGGCTGACGCCATTCGCCGGGATATCTCCTGACACTGGCCTTGGCCAAGCATCTGTAGCCTTTGTGCTTTTGTCTACCGTCATTCCCGTCGATTTGACGGGCCAGTGTAAGAATGTGTAACATAAGAAAACAAGAAGGTCAGCCAAAGCCAAGTATATGAGGCCAGGGATGACAAGTGCCCATTGCTTCAGGGGCAGCATGCCACGCCATCCTCAACCGTTTTAAGTCGGGCATGTCGGGTAAGCCAGATATTGCACCACCGGACTAGATGTGCAGCATATTGACATCCGAGATGCTGCGTTGGCGCTTGTGGCCAATGGGTATTTCGCTGGATGCTTTGCGTTTCTGGGACATGGACTCGAGAGGGCTGCGGGCAAGGTCGCGCATCTGCTTCTTCGACCGTCGGAGAGGTGTCAAAGGGACGGCCGCCGTCTCGAACCGGTCCGACTTGAGGCCACGCAGGGCAGTGTAGTTGTAAGGACTGCTCAGGGCGAGAGAGTCCTGTGTGGCTTTGTCGCTCAGGATGAGTCGCTGGTTGATCTGATCGCGACGGAAAGCCCCCACGTTGGTCGCGTTGATGTGCGAATGCAGGTCCACATCGCTCGAGGCGGTGCGTGGCCTGGCAGGGGTAGAGCCCAAGGGGTCACCGTCCCACTGGTTTTCCTCGTCTTCATCGCCAGAGGAGTGGTTTTCATCGAACTCGATGAAGTCGCTGATGTTGAGGCTCTTCTCCACCTCGTCGTCTTCTTCCTCCTCGTCGAAGCCCACGTCAGAGCTCTCGTCGGCAGTGTTGGGTTCTGAGGGGAAGGGAAAGAAGGCCTCAGCAGGCCCCATGGCTTGCGTATTGAGGTAATCACCAAACGTGTTGGATGAGAACATGGCGCTCATCATGATCTGGGCAGAGCTGCTGAGCATGGGGGAATTCTGGTTCTCATCAATAGGGGCCAGATACTGGAAGTTGAACTGCTCAGGAGACAAATCAAGCTGGCGGCGACGGTGGGGGGTAAAGATCATCATCTTGCGGGAGATGGGGTTAACGACAGCAATGGGCTTTCGCTCAGAGTTGTCGAGGTTGAAGCGGCCGACACGCGGCTGTCCGCGCTCGCCCTTGACTGGGAGATCCGTGTCAGAGTCGTCCCACTGGTCAGTGGACGGCTCGGGGCGCTTAATCTTGCGGCGGACAACAGGTTCCGGCTCGTCTTCTTCAGTGGTATCACCATCAGCTAGTTGGACGGTGTTAGCAATCACAGTTTCTTCAATCCGCGTCACAAAGCGCAAACTCACTCTCATAGCCGTCTAGCTCTTGGGTTTCCTCAAAAGCTGCGACCGGAGTGGGTATCTCAGAGACTTCGCCGGCTGTCATAGGGGTGGCGATAGGCGTATCGTCGTCGCCGAGCTCCTGAATCACAGCCTCAACATCTGATTCTGCATCAGGAGCGTGTCCATAGGCTCCATGGTAGTCGCCGTGGTAGTCCCAGAACGAGTTTGAGTTTTCAGACTCATCATTTTCATCATCATTTTCGATCTCGCGGCGGAAGGCCGGGTCGAGGGAGCTCTGGTCAACAAATATGTCGGGGAAGAAGTCGGCATGGTCATCCTCAGTGTCGGTAGAGTCTGAATCACTCGAAGGGACATCAAAACGAACGTGCCGTTCGACTGACCGGTGATGGTGATCAGAAGCTGCACTCTCATCAATCTCGGACATGATGCCGTCCCAGCTGGCGCTGTCTTCAACATCGGCAGCACCGTCTTCTTCATCTTCGTCTTGCTCCTGATCGTCTTCGTCTTCGTCTTCGTCTTCGTCTTCGTCCTCTACTTCTTGGACAATTGGCGGCCGAGGGGGGCTCGGGATGCTGGGGGGTGGCAGCACCTCGTGAAGGATATGCTCCTCCTCGGCCGCATCGACATCCTCCTCGTCATCATCGGAAGAATCGCTGATATCTTCGACTGCAGAGTAGCCTCCGTCATCGGACAAATCAAAGGATGAGGAGGACGTTATGGAGTCCCGACGCTTCGCTGCCTTGCGAGAAGCCACAGAGGACTTGTTGCGAACGTTACGAGACATTGTAGTAGTTATGCAGGGATGAAACCCAGTGCGGTAATATTTGAAAGAGAGGGGGGGGGGGGGGGGGGGGGGGGGGGGGGGGTTCGTCTGGAGGAGCGGCGTTGATGGATGCCGTGTGTATGCCCAATGTGTAGCGACAATGTCGTATGTGTAATTCTTCTTGTTTGCGCCTGATTGTATAATATGCGGTCTAGGTGTTCTCGTGAATGTGTTCGGGTCGGAGAGAGAGAGAGGTGGTTGGAGTGGGCGTAGCAGGGAGTCGTGGAGGTCAGGAGAGGTGGATGTGAAGATATTTTCTTCCGGCGGATAGGCTTCTCGTAGCCCGATGAATAGTGGGCTTGGTGGTCGATTCGGGTGAAATCAGATACAGACTTCCGTCAATGGGCCAGAACCGTCCCGTTGGAGGGCTCCGGACAGTGAAAGCCTGGGTTGAACTTCGTCGAAAACAAGAGAGGGGATTGAATGTCTCGATGGGCTGCTGGACTGCAGAGATGCCCAGCACAGGCACCTCCGCAGTGGGCGTTTACAGCTCAGCGAAAGCGGCGAACATGATTCTCGACGAAGTGTGGTGTGTGATTCTAAGGGTGTACCTTTCAAAGGGTGTAGGGCGACTTCGTTGTCTCGTGGAATTGGATTTTGGTTGGTGGTTGAGATGGGAAAGAGAAGGAAAAAGGGAAGGGAAGGGACGAGGCACCGGGATTCCGAAAATAATATGGCTCCC